TGTGGAATGATATTCACTCATTACGTAAAATTATATTTCAGTTCTGATAATAAACATGCAGTGTTTTATATGAAAATAAAGGATTCTCTCTCGCAAATAATATGGATAAGCAGAGATTTAATAAATCGATCCATGGGCGGATCTACAAGAGCTTAAGGACCGATCAACATAAAATACGTCAAAGTTAATTAAATAATATGAAGCTATTTTATGAACTTGTAGTTTTTCATCAAGTCCGTTCGCTTAGCTGCCTTTCTTGTTATATTGACGCAGAGATATACTCTGAAGTTAAATACGGGCATTTTCTTTAGTATAATGGTGTTGTTTCTGTATCATAAGATTAACCCCATTGAAAACGGGGTTTATTTTTGCTTGATATGACTGTGTGATATTAAAGAGCTAAATATAGAATTAACCCCATATGAACTTTTAGACATGTCTATAAAAGGTATGAACTTGATGAATCCTATGCTGAAATTTAACCCCACTTGGTAACATTAATATGAACATAAAATTGTCGTATGAAGGATTTTATTGAAAATCACTTGGACATGTACATATGCAATCAACAATGCACTCAACTACCAAAAAACAGCCTTGTTTCGTTTTTTTTGCCCCAGGTTTCGCACGCGTGTACTAGTAGGTTATTGTCTGCCAGAAAATTTTTCCTCAAAAAACCCCCCACACTTTTGATTGGTATATCTTAAAAAAAGTCTTTTCCTTGAGTTTCAACATATTTGACAACATGACATGAAATTGTGACCTGCTTTTGCAAAAGTTCATTAAACTATAATCTTGACATTCATTTTAACAGTTAACGCTAGAGCGTTTGGACATCACATTGTATACCTTGTTAGAAGACAATTCCTTGAGTCATTGACCCTGCATTGGATTTTTGCCCACTTCTTCAAAGCTTTAGCCTTGGCAATAACTTTTGAAAGGTTAGTACTAGGTCCTTCATATTTCTCAATCGTTGTCCTTTTGACAAGATTATCCACGAAACACTTACAATTTTGTCCGTTGAGCTTGAAGTTTGACATGAACTTCGCTTAGGTACAAACAATTTTGATCCTTTGTTTTTGACCTTGGAAAAATAATCAACCATTGAAAAAAAATTGAAAAAATCTTTTTCAGTGGTTGATGCGAGTCTTTTCCTTGAGAACAGTTTTGTCCTCGGAGTATGACCAACTTTTGAATCCTCCCCCCTCCCCCGTCCATACCTTTGGATAATTGGTGCAAGAGATTTAACAATTACTTGTGTATTTCATTTAACAAGATCTATTTCGTGTAAAAAGACCTTCCCTTAATTTTTACTACCAGTATTTGATATTGACTTTAACGTTTGCCATACTATACTCTCTCGTGATAAGCAGATAGTAAGTTTATGAGGCATCAACATAAAATACTTTAAGTCCATTGATGAATTCTTTATTGACTCAAATGAATGTGTATATAATGTAAAAGGACTACAAAGAAAACAAAAGGATCAATAACACGACGTTCACAAGATAGCATACTAGAAGTGGACGAATTAACCAATTAATTAATGAATGTTACAGCGTTCCATAGAAAATTGTTTACTGTATTAATTTTACCAAAAACAAAATGTATGCATAAAATTGAGTTCTTACAATTTACTTTTAATTATTTTTATCCAAGTGAAAAAAGCAATACAAAAGTAACATTAAGCAACATATAATTTTTTTTGTCGTAGTAGCGATAAGAATGGCAGGTCATTCTTTATACACACACAGTTACCACGAAAAAATTTTAATTTTCTATCCTTTAAGTTCAAGAATGCCGCTATGCATTACCACCTCTCCCTTTGAATAATCTAATAGTCTTTAGACATAAACATCAAAAACAAAAACAGGCGATATTTAAATTCATTTTAGGAAAATTATTATCTTAACTTCTCAACTACAAACTATCACAATTTTACAAGTGTTCTGATTTTTTTTCATCAAATAAGGGTTCAGATTAGGCTGTTACCTATCTTGTCCTTTCTGATAAAATCTGTAAAGAAATGTCATGCCAGCGATTTTTTTTAAGTTGTTTTCATGAAAATAGATGAGATTCATGAGATTAAATGAAAAATCAATATCTTTACTTAAACCACAAATCGATATCTTATGTTTAAGCATTGAACTCTCAATTTCAAATGTCGGTGTGTAACAACATCTTACCTTGTCCCAAGTTTGAACATCGATCCTTGTATGTGACAGGGTCCCTGTATGATTTTCTTTTTGCAATACACGAGTTTCGAGATTGTAATTATCCTACGATAGAGGGGCAAAAACTATTCATTTCAGTATAGAGTTGGGACAGGTTGTTTCTGTATTCAAACGTGCAGACATAAATGAACGATATTTTTGGCTTTTAAAATTATGTTTCGGGGGTCCGTGTTTGCTCTGCTCTTATTTTGTATTGTTTTATGGACTTAGAGATTGAATACTGTTCGTTATCTCCATATCCATCATATGTTTTAGGAAGATGATAATGCTAAGCAGTGATGTATTCAATGATTTCATCAAGCTCAACTGTGCATATTTACAAAATCTACTATCAATTATTCGGTGCGTGAAAAAAAAAAATGATTGATTGTATATAGTTTAAAGTCCCTCTCGAGAATATTTTATATGGAGACGTCACCGTATGCAGGTGAAGGGCTTTAAATTTTTACCTTTACTCGGCACTTAGGGCCATTGAGCAGTGAGAGATCTTCATCGCTGACACGGAACCTTGGTTTTTAAGGTCTCATCCGAAGAACCCGCAACTTTCACTTCAAAGTGCCGAGCGCATGGCGAAGGAACAGTTGCTACCCATTTTATCGACTTAAGTCAGTCGCGGCCGAGATTCGAACTCACGACCGATCACGAAGCGAGCGCTCTACCGACTGAGCTACCGTGAACGGTACTTGAAAACGAAAGAAGCATCGTAGTCTTTAATAAAAGTAACTGATTTTCTTGATCGTACGAACATTTTCTAAAAAGTCAGTGTTTCAAAGTTATAACGAAGAAAATGATCAATATATCATTTAGATTCCCGACGTGCAATGATCAGATGCATGTGTACGGTGTTTTCCCTCGTCCGAAAAGTCTCACATCCACTGATATTTTCTCTCTTATTACGATTTTTGCCTTGAAATGATGTCTTTATATTCATTCGGTTTTTCTCGAGTTGTAGAGTGCATCCTGACAAGCGTGTATTATGATAAACCTGTATATCGATGTTGCAATGTTTCTAATAAACACAGTGTATAAATAATCTGTCTCAAATATCTGTTTGTGCGACAACAAAACTCTCCTCCTCGACGAAAAAACGCACTAAGGGAGATAATCTTGAAACTTGCGTATTTGGTGCACCGTTATTCTATCATCAACATTCAAAATTAGGAATTCCTAGGAGGATCAAAGACTTTGTAAAGGATGGAATCGACTGAATGATACTATATACTACAGTTGTTACACACGAAAAATATTCAGACCCCATTTGTTTTGCAAATATTATTTGAGCGAGACAAAGAACAGTCTTTTATAAATATTTGTTGGAAAAATTCTATCCTTCTGTTATTAAACAATCCAGAATTAAAAGAAAGAATTAGATAGATTAAGGTAGGACACTATAGGTAGGATCTATTTGTCCTCAAATTCAATTTTCGTGAAATTTTCATTTTTTAGGATACAAAATCTTTCTTTATATATTTGAAGCAATTCAACCACACATTGTTTGCCCACCTAGTCTGAAATACAGCCTATTAGACGCCTATAAGAAGACTGTTAAATCAGACATTCGACTGGAGAATGAGCCTTATTTTAGAATTATCAATTGATCAATTGTGTACTACTTGAAATAAATATAACCTTTTTGTTACTTTAAATCAGTAAAATTATTAGTTATGCAGTCAGTTAGTGACCTAAAACGGATTCATACAGGGTGTGAAATGGAAATCCGTATTGGGCGAGGCGAAGGTCATTAGTGACCGTATTAGGTCACTAACTGACTGTGTTACGAATTTATCCCGCTGAAGACCTTTATCGATTTAAAAAAAAATATTTGTGCATATGAAAATATTAAGTTTTAATCCAATAGCAATCAACATAAAATATCGTTACAGTAACAAGAGAAACTAAACTACCTACGTAAGCCGTTTCTTAGCCGACATTTTTATTTACAATAATAACGTTGCAAACGGAATCGCGTGCCCGATTTTCATATTACGCCTAGATGGAGACGTAATACGGAAAATTTCAGGGCGTCACGTGTTCAGGTTTTATCCAGTCAGAAATCTTCAAATTTGTCTGAAGCGGGATAAGTATTGATACTGGAAAGTTTGAGTAAAATATCAAGTAAAATAAAGCACATGTAGCGTCGGAATTGAAAATTCACATGTAAATATCCGGAAGTTAATTTTTCTTATGAGAAAATGTAATATTTATTTTAACAAAAATCAACAGAATGATTCAAATGAGTTCTAGAATAACGTATGTAAATGTTGACCTTTTGATTTGATCTTGACCTTTGTAGTACCGACAGAGAGAACCCTTATATCTGTGTGTACAAATATCAGACCTCTACTATATATGGAACAAGATAAACAACTGCATTTTATGTCAGACTGTTACATGTTTGTTTATTGCACTTAGATATTGTTAACACATTCCAAATTGTAAGCTCACAAGTGACCAATATATAGGACTCTATGATTTTTTTTACAAAATATGACATAAACACGACAAAATTTGTTATTTTTCTTCCAGGGATCATTCATTATTGTCAATATAGTAATATCATCCTTTTTAAAATACATTTTAAGAAATAGGTTAAAGTAGAATCCTGGGGTGTTTTTTCCTACCTTAAATAATAAGTACACACTGGTCCCTGCTGACAAAGTAGGTTACAACATTGTCCCCCTTTATAAGGCTCATTATATCAAATATTTTAGAAGAAGTTATTATGAATTGGTTGTATTATTACGTAACACAGTCAGTGCGGTTTTATCATTAAGATACAGTCAGTGCGTTTTTATCATTAAATAACACAGTCAGTGCGGTTTATCCATTACGTAACACAGTCAGTGCGGTTTTATCATTATGAGGATCTTCTTTATATCTGTTCCTGAGCTAAGAAGCGGATACCAGGATGTAGAAGACCAGGCGCTGTTCAGGAAGGCGTGGGTACAGTCGTTAAACCACCAGCCTCCTCCTCCAAAATCAATGGCGCAGTGATAGGTACTACTTCTGTCATTATCTCTGTCTGGGGTGGAAAAGTACATCCCAGACAGATCCGCCAAATGAAAACCTGTGTTCATCATGCTGTCACCTGTAGAGGTAGGATAAATAGATAGCAAACAATATTCAATATCAAAGACAATTAAACAAAACAAAATAGCAGCAGAGCAAACACGGACCTCCGAAACATCAGAGGTGGGATCAGGTGCCATGAAGGAGTGAGCATCCCCTGCTGACCACTCACACCCGCCTTGTGCTTATGGTCTTGATCGTGAAATAGTGGATAAATCCGTCGTCAAATCAGTGTTTAAACAAGAAAACATTGATGTGACCATCAATTGTCGCCCGAAAAATATATAAAGTAAACAATGGAATGAGTCTTGATCATCAAACCGCTTCGATTGTGTGAAAAGACATGCGTCTAATTGATGGAGACGATAATTATGGACGTTTCATCTTAAATACTGTTTGTTATTTCCGTACGTTTCATTCATTTATAATTTATGAATGGATTTAAGATATCTCCTTCTGATTAAACAGACGACCCACCTAAAGTCCCCTCCGTCGGTCCATTCAGGTAAAGTCTGTAGTTGTCTGTCTCGTTGTTTACAGAGAACTCCTTGTACTGTTGATATAGAGTTGTTCCATTGGTCAAAGTAATGGACACGTATAGAGATGGCCTGTTTTTAGTTAATTGATGGATGACGTCATTTCCTGAAATAAAACCGTGAATAAAAAACATGGCATGGTGCATTTTCTTGAAATAAATAGTTATAATATATTTATTTTTGTACATCCTGCATTATTTGGGTAACGGGTTGTGGGGAGTACAAAGCTAAAGTTCGACCACTTGCCCAAATAACACAGGATACATCAAAATAATTATTATAGAACTGTCTTGTATTATGGTCTAATTAAAACATTTACAGTTGAACATGTGCATTTTTAATAATTATTCATTATACAACAGACATGTTACAATGAAATACAATAATTCCATCTTGTGAGAAATCTTTTCCGCTGTCCCCTGCAAATTGCATAGTTCGGTTAACGTTCATCAGATTTGAATGCTTTGAATTACGTGAAAGCAATAGGACTCAAAACGCTTAACCTGACGGATATAGAATGTCTTTTACAAATACCAGCAAGTGTGTGATTAAATCGAAATATGGGAGAGAGATCACCTGTGGGAGAATTGGTGGACGAGGAGCTTTACAACAAACAAATATACGGCGGCATCACTGCTAGAATGGTAAGTTTATTTCTGTTTATTTAAGTATGACGAGTAAAATCATGCAGATAGCACAGAAAAGGCGTTACATCGATAATATTCAAATTCATTCCTTTGGGTCTAAATTGAATAATAACAGACGATTTTGTTACAATTCTTTTTTTTATCTAGCTAATGATAATGTATTCTTGGTGTAATTTTGTATAGATAGTGTGCAAATACCTATTACAGAAAAGAATATCTTTAAAAGGCAAGAAGATGTAAAGAATCTTAATACATAATTAAAGTGAAAATGGAACGTTTAATAAAAATTTACTGTAATTTTTTTTGTGCAAACGAAAGATTGAAAGGATACAGGATGTTTAAAATCGAGATTATCTTAAGATTCTTCGAATGAGTTCCCTTCCTCTTGAAATTTATATAAGTGGCATTAGTAAAAAAAAAATGGCAGCCTCCATGGCAAGTTGTACGATGTGTAGTTATTTTGATACATCGTGTGAAATTTATTGCAAATGTTTGCATGAAAGTGACATAAATTAGTTGAAAGGATTCTACAAGAACAGATTAAGCACAGTTTTCGGGTGAAATTATAGCCAGCAAGGTGTTTTGTTGATCAGTATACATGGTATACATGTAATGACCATGTTGACGTATTTCTCCCGAAGTGCTACCGACACCATTATGATCTATTTCTGAAGTTAAACCTTAAGGTAATCCACGAAAATCCAAGAGTTAACTCTCATAGAGGAATGACAGTCCGATTTTATCAGCTTTCCCAACTTGGAGAGGAAAGATAATGTGCATTTGGACAGTTATTTAACCAGGTAATATTAAGTCCAACACAATCTCTTGATTAAAATGAGTAATTTTATAGCTTGAAATAGATATATAATTATCTTTATTAAACTATTCAAAACAGCTTGATAAAGCTAGTAATATGCATTTTTTCACAAAAAATAAAAACAAAAATAAGTCGAAAGCTTATGACTATAGTCCTATATGTACTATGGGGCTTAAAAACAACCCATATCATAGATACATGAATACTTTTTTAGCAAAAGATGATTTTTTTATTATTTACCAGCTCGGGTTCACTACCTTATATGGAATGCAGTTCTCTACATGTCACGCTGTTTTCGTCACTACCGATCTCTAATTAATTTTAATTTGAATAAGTGACCAAGCATTATTGTCTACTACATGTTTTCAATTCAATAGTGACACATGGTTTTCGTCAGTGCATAATATGTACAACAAAGGGGCTAGTCTGGTAAAGAACGGCATCACCAATGTTACTCATGGGCAGACCTGCGGCGCATTAATATTGCGAACCATTTTAGACCTGATTTCAATAACAAGGATTAGATACCTGTTTATGTATATCTACCGATAAGACGAAGCATAAGAAATAAATACATATATATGTATACAATATACCTATCCAATAAGACGAATATACATATATACATGTATGCATACCTATCCAATAAGATGAATGTAGAGAACCAAAGCCTTCTTTGTATTCATTCCAAGTTCTGTTGAAATCCGTTGATCCTTCAACACGCCTCTGTATCACCTATTGTATTAAAAAAATCAGCAAAATTATTTTTCTGTAAGTTTTTATTTATGTATTCTATCTGTTGTTATTTCATACAACAATAATTTCATATCATACTGACCGTCCAACCCCCATCTTTTGTATCCATATCACAGAAAACATCCACTGAACGGTTGTACCAGGGATAAATCATATAAACACACGACGCAGTAAAACCGTCAACAAAAAGACTTTTACAGTCCATAGGACGAATGTTCCCTAAAATTTATCAAAGACAAAACAAGAATTAAAAGAAATACATTCAAAAGGATGTGAACTTTTTATTGCAAAAGCTTAATTATTGTTTTTGAATCATAATTACTTTTTTAAGTCTTTCTCCGAGTCTAAACTATTTAAATAATCTCATTCCTACTCTAGAGTGAAAAAATTCTTATAATTAACTATTCAAAATTATCAAATTTATATCTGTGAAAAGTCAAGGGACATTCTTTTTTTTTTTTAATTTAACCCTCTCTAAAAATAACAAAAAATGGAAGAAAGTTATTTGCATATGATTACGTCATTTCCCTAACATAAGTTTCAATCGTTTAAGCCAAAATTAATTTTCCATAAAGTTTTCTAAATAAAAAATCGTCCTAAAACAAGATTAAACCTTTTTAAGGATACAAATCAAATAATAAATTTAGAACTGTTTCATTGATATATTGCTCTATCTAGGTAAGTTCCCCTTCATATAAATTTATCCATCAGAAGCGTAGTGACAATTATTTTTTGAAGTCATAAAAGCAGAAAAAAATGGTTTCTCTTTAAAATCCACCATTATCAGAAACTGTGTAAAAGTGCATGCATCAAAATGAATTAATTAATATTTAAAGAACTTTGGATTATTTTATCAATCATATCTATTCTCACAGATGCTTTTTTTTCAAATTGAGGATGATAAGAAATGAAAATAACTATAAATTATTAAGATTATTTTCACAGATATTCTTCGAGTCTTCTCACAAATATGACATAGCGTAAAAATATCATTTTTACAGTAAACGACATATTTAACGTAGAAACTTCGTCGTATGATATCATTTCTAGTGAATGTGTTTAAGCCTGTGCTAGATTCATTATGACGTTATTATTTATTTAATCTTACTTATCCCTTATCCCTGTACTTTTCGATTTCAATATAAATTGAAGAAAATAATACATTTTGAAATTTATGGAATTCAATATAAAATCATTCCAAAATAATCTGAATACTTATATTGGATTTATATTAATTTAGACAAATCAGTAGATTTACTAGATCTTGACCTTAAACCTCCTTCCCACAATCACGCATTTTAACGCATTTCCTAATTTTAATGCAAAATCACGCATATACCGTACTTTAAAAATGACAACTTATCGTCTATTCATTGCCAGCTTCCGTCTATTTTATACTTACTAAAATTTCAAATAATAAGAAAAGATATTTAAGGTTAACCTTAAGATTTGACCTACTTAAAAAATGACCTTGGCCAAAAATTTTGAATGGTTAGGGCTATGGCTTTAATACTTCTTATACATATTCATTGTGACAAGCCCTTTCAATATATAAACCAATAATTTTGACCCTTCAACTTTGACCCTGTTGTTTGACCTACAAGTACGTATACCTTTCAAAAACTTTTGACCTTTTTAATGCAACTTTTTAACAGATGATGTTAAGACTTTCATATTTTAGAATGTATTTCTTGATAGAAAAAACTTAATTTCGGTGTTACACAAACACAGATTGTTGATAAATGTTGAACATTTTTGATGAGAAAGTAACTCTTAATAGTCATGTAATAATAAAATTCCGTGTAAGTGCAAAAAGATCAAGAGTAGTAGCATTGGTAAATAACCTATTTCTCATTAGTTGGAAGCAAAAGCTATATATTTTAAACACTTTTTGTAATCATTAAGGTATTTTCTTCATCATATTACAGATTGAAAGGCATTCTGAAAACTACTTCTGATAAAAATAGCTACAAATGTAGGGTTGAAAACTGATTTTAAAAAGTCGATTTGATTGTTTTTTTTAAATGGACTTATCCTTTATGTAATTTTAATGAAAGAGAATTTATTCTTGATAAATATTAAGTATCAAATAGGTCTATAAACAGCAATGTCTGAAGAAGTTTTTGTGATGTTTTATATTTTCTGCATAGTGCCCCAAAATAACTGAAGATGTGTAACCGCAGTATGTGAATATATTTGGTTCATAGGATCCACCATATTTAATAACAAATAAACATCTCACGTGCTTTAAACTGATTGATAAGCAAGTACTAATTTATCATTTTGTTTACAAATCTTGTGACAAAGGATTTTTCGTCATGTGAAATATTAATTTAAAAAAATATACGAGGGCTTTTTAATAATAATTGTATATGTGCATTAGTATATCGACCTAAAGTAGATTTGACTTAGTTTCACGAAGTACTAGTAACGAAATTTCCATCGCTGGTCACCGTTGTTTTGTTCGTAATTGTTGATGGTTGTCCAAAACTTTTATTTTAACGATGGTTAAATTATTTTTTAGAAAAAAATATATATACGAGGGTTGATCCAAAAGTAATGTCACAACTTCGATAAAATCGCTTCTGGTCGACGTAAAACAACAGAATTATAAATGATGAAAGCTACATTTATTTTAAATCAGGCCTGAAAATTTCGATTCAACATGATTTATACTTTTCAAAATATCGGATTATATACAGCGTGCGATTATGGTAGTCGCCGCAGCTAAATAACGTCATATGACGGATACGCGCGGTCATACATTTCAACGCTTCCCTTCGTTTCATTAAAAAATATTTGAGACTCGATATCCACGAACACGTTCACAAATTTCACTTTCTTACCCTTAGTACCCATCGTACACTCACTCTTTTCATAATTAATTCTGTCAAAATTCATTGAACAGTAGTAAAAGACCAACTTAAAATTTCACATATCGCTCTATCCGTCTGTCTTTTTGACAACGTCACACAGCATTGAACATTTCCGTCCGCCCTCCCATCTTTTAGTTTTCTTGTCACCTGCTGAGCATTCAATCACCCATCATCCACCCAAAATCGCTGAAACTATCCAAACAAGTCTCTTATTTACATTCTTTCCTCCGAAAGTCTGGTGAATCAACGTAACTGTCTCTACTGGCGATTTCTCCATTTTGAAGCAGAAATGCGTTACAGTTTGATTTGGCTTTCTTATCCATTTTGACATTTCCTTTTTTCAATGCACCGGGAAAAATCAACGATGTTTTTCATCAAACATAGCAGTGATGTCATATAATTTTCAACTTAAGACTAGAAAATGATGTAAATTTTTGTCTTTCAAAGTATTTTGCGTTTAGGCGCTTTTAAAAGATGATTTTTAATGTGTTCGTCTTTCTTATTCCAAAAAAGAACACTTTAATTTGTGACGTTCGGTTTTGACGCGGCGACACCCCCTATCATATTTGTTTTAAACATCTATAAAATAAATTCAGTTAAACATTATTGAATGAAATATCAAAGTTTAATTAGATTTATATTTGTGCATATTTTGGTATATAATATTTGATAATATGACACCAAATATAAAAGATATGGACACTGTGACATTTCTTTTGGATCAACCCTCGTACCAGCCCTTAGGCATGTATTTTTCTCAATCTTGTTGCTTCAGCAGGTCATTTAGTCTTAAAACTAAGATTTCTTGACCATGCAGCGCCGCCCTGACATCAAAATCCATTTTGTCATCAATTTTTATATTGTGCTTATTTTTTTTTTCAAATGATCTTAGTACTGAGTATTTCTTTTTTTCATCTATTATTAGATTAAACCCTATCTGTATACTTGACTAAACAAATATGTATAACTATACCTGTAAAAATAATTTTACATGCCGTATCAATTTTTTTCCCCATTTTTTAACGCAATTGTCTAGATAATACAAGAATTTTGTTAAATTATGCTCTTCCTACAAAAATGTAGACTTTCTGACTTCTAATGAATATTTCAAATTGTGTTTTATTAATTGTTTTTAGTATTTTAACGTCTCCAATAAAGAAACCCTCACTCATACGTTCGTAAAATGCATGAATTTCACAATAAGAACATTGTACTAATAATACCTGCAGTGTCCGAAAAATAGTACCTCCATCCTACTTGCGGTTCTGCTAAATTAGTTGAATGACATCCAGTGTGAATTCGGCATTTCTCTCTTTGAAAATTGAAACCAAAGTAGGTACACCCTGGAGCACACATTGCTGAACACATAATCAGTGAATAAGCTTCATATTTAGCAAACAGATTTTTCTGGAGTATATTATCATCTAATTCAATTTTAGCAGCGTAGTACCTTGAGACATACATTGATATAGATGCGGAAAGCCTGAAAAGGACAAGAAATATAATTCCCATAAATCCCTTGTTCATCATAGTTGTTTCTGAAGTCTTATGAATAATATCTGATATTGCAAGCATCTATACAGTAAAATAAATGTATTATCTTTTTTTTCAAACTGAATTCGTGATTAACCAGTTTCTGATTGGATGGATAAATCGACCTATGGGTGAGTCTACAAAAGCTTAAAGACTGATGAACATAAAAAAAATCAAAGTAAATTAAATAATATTTCAAAACTTTTTTTATCTTTTGGTTGAACCCGCACAGGAGAATAACAATATTGGAAAGTGTGGATTTGATTTTTGTCATCTAGACATATGGATAAAATGACTGCTTATTAATTTATTTTTATATTATACACTGAATGCTTTTTAAATGTGAACCAGAGCCCAAATCACTAGATAAAATACTATCTTACATAATGTTTTCCTTCTTTTTATATTATGTTAATATAGGTCGTAGTAGTCGTACCATTTTAAAAAGAGATAATATCGACTGGAAATAAAAAAACTCACATTTTTTTTCTAAAAGAATGAATTTACACAACACTTTTAAGGTCATTATTGGTCAAAGAATTACTGCAGCATCCTCAGGTAGTGTGAACAGTGTGTTAAAGTCATGCAACTTCTTTAATATGCTTGATCCACTTATATATTTAATTTTTTTCAAAATTGAATGAATTAAAATGAACTGCATTTTTTTAAGTCAAAGTGCTCAGGTGAGCGATGTGCATCAATGGCCTCTTGGTGATAAACAACAACCGATATAGTTTTTGATTTCGACGAAGTATTACTAAAATTACTAAAAGTA